GAACCCCCAGGAACAGGAGGGGATTCGTTGTCTTTTGTAAAAAATAGTGTCCCTCAGGGAAGGGGAATTGTTTGGGTTTGGTAACAGGCACTGTTAACCCCCGGGATAAACCCGCGGGATTTTGTTTCACATATGGTCAGCGGTATCTAACATATATGTCCAATATAGATATAACCATTAGGGATGCACCGGAACCGGTTTTTTAAGTTCCGGCCGGAACCGGATCCGACCGGAACTGGAAAAAAGTTCCGGCCGGAACCGGAACTAATTTATTAAGCCATATATAGTCATATGTTACTTTGTCTGCTGCCAGACAAGCAGACACTTCAAATCATCAAGTAGAGAGTTCGCAAATGTCAGAATAAAAAGACTGACAAACGTTAAACATCATAATGAAGTGTTAATAGTGTACATTTCCCTTGCGTAGTCCAACTTTCTTCCTACTGTGACCTTTTGTTAGACACAAAAACGTTTGATATTCTATCTCCCTGAAAACGACAGAGTTCCGGTTCCGGCCATGCTTTTTTTACTAGTTCCAGCCGGAACAGGAACTCTAAAAAATCGGGGTTCTGGCCGGAACTAACCAGCCGGAACCGAGTTCCGGTGCACCCCTAATAACCATCGGTTGTCAGGTGGTGAAGTATATTTATATTATATTTTTATTTATTACCTCGAACATGTCTGTCAAATGCATTTAAATATATTTAGCCAAATACTTTGAATTACGTTTCCCACATGAGAACCGTAATGTGAGATATAATATATTCATATTATATTGTTATTTATTACCTCGAACATGTCTATCAAATGTGTTTAAATATATTCTGTCAAATACTTTGAATTACGTTTCCCACATGAGAACCGTAATGTGAGATATAATATTATATTTTTATATACATAGTTGGCCACAGTACATGTAAGTAATGATAAAATATAGCAACGTAGTATAAACACCGAATGACACCCTTCGACCATCACACACCATCTGACAACTATCTGACAACCATCTGACACACTTCGACCATCATACACAATCTTCATCTGACAACCCTTCCCTGTATAATCACCCTACATCATCATGCACCATCTGACACACTTTGCATGACCATCATACACCATCTGACAACCCTTCCCTGTACAACCATCATACACCATCTGACACGGTTCGACCATCATACACCATCAGACATCAGATATCGATGCCTGTATTGGACATTACTCGTATCTAAGGCTGGGATTACACTATACCGGATTGATTTTCATACCGGATCAATTTTCACACCAATGCCAAAATCAAGGGTGTTTACACTATTGCCGTTGCGACTTGTTGCCACCCGTAAAGCTCCGTAAAGCTTTGCCGTTGTCTTGAAAACAATAGCAATTTCCCGCCATAATTGGGGAAAGAACAACGTTTTACATGAAAGATGTCTGCCGTCACCGTGTCAAAGAAAAAAGCAGAGTCCTTTTTATGGACTGACGCCGAAATTGAACTGCTGCTTGCATCAGTTAAAGTATTTGCTTCTAACTGTCTTTTCAACGGCACGGACTGGGAAGGCGTGAAGTCGAAATACGAAAAGATTAGAGAAATTTTTGTTGAACGCTACCCAAAAACTAATGATGGCGAAATCGCAGAGAAACCAAATTCAGACTCCCAAGTCGAAATCCCTTGAGAATATAATAGGCCGTTAGCTGTGTGGGCAAAATGTGGTTAGAAATCAAATTCCGTCGCCACCATCGCGGTGCTAAAAATTTTTAAAAGGAATTAGGAGATTAAACTATGCTGATTTCAAATATCTTTGTTCCCACGCGCCAAAACCCGCTGTTTTTTCACAATGTAAGGCCAAAGTTTGATATTTTCATCCGCTAACCGCCATCTTGAATTCCGCGGTATGTTTGATCTTTCAACATTATTACTTGAAGTATTAAAAGTAACATGGGCTCATAAACAACCAAATTCATAAATATGGCTAGCAAAACTGTCTTTTCTTGGGAATTTTGTATACATTTTGAAGGTAAATCTGTTGAATTGTGTCACTTAACATCTCACACAAGTTAATACAACTGATAAAATCTAAAAATATTGTGAAAAGTCGGTTAATTTGAGACTCAAATCGCGACAAATGTTGCACAGCGTATCAAACATTCAAACATTGGTCAAATACTTCAGTTTATTAATATTGTACACTATTAATTTAAATACCTTGTACCTAAATTTGTCATTAGTATACAGCTGTTACACTTAGCGGTATTCGACGGAAAATAAATAAATTAATAACAAAATAAACTAAAACGTATTTACTTTAAGTTTAACTGATATCAACACAATGTCAATGAAATATAATAAACACTATTTGATTATATAAGTTTTGCATTTCTACAATAGGATAGCACAAATTTCATCAGCTGTGTTGCATCGGTGTTGTGCTATACAATACTACAAGTTTTCTTCCTCCATATTCACTACCCAGATCATCTTCTGAATCATCTTCAAGGCTACCGCTTTCGCTGGACTCGTGTGGACAATTTGTGCATCCAACACACTGGCACATTTCATTACACTGGTTGTTGGCCTTTTTACATGAGCATCTTAGGGTTGAACAGCCGGTTTTACATTTGCAGTTGCAATCTTTGAGCAGTACATCAGGAGCACATTTCTTTGTCATCCACACCACATCAATATTTCCTTCTTCATCAATCTTCCATCCATGATCAGTTGGTAAAGGCGCGTCAATTGTTGGAGTTGTTGCTCTTTTCCATATTGCGGCCTGGTAATTTGCTCGCTGGATGTGTTGTACAAGACAATCCTCATTTGGAGGCAATGCTGCATCAGAGAATTTACCCATCCTAAACATGTCATATCTTGCTTTATTCACAGATGTGGTATCCTTAGCCCCATATAGCATGCATGTGAGTGACTCAAGGTTTTCCTGAATGGATTCATCAACGTCAAAGTCCTCACCAAGACGCACAAATGTGTCGAGAGCTGTTTCGTCATTGATCCAGTGATGCACAAGCTGTTGTGTTCTTACAAACTACCTCACTTTTAGCTAAATCATTAACGAAACGGCATCCTAATTATTAATATAATGTAGCTAGTTATTGCTTACCAGTATATGCGTGAAATCCAATTAATGCTTTGCCTTCTTTCTCACCAATCTGCTGTTGAACACATCTGACGTCTATGATCCGAGTTTTCTCATTCGCACCAGTCTCAAAAAATAGTTCGCATTGGAGAATATGGCAAAAATAAAGTATAATAATGAACACGTCCGTATCCGGGCTCTTTATCACAATACTTCCATGTGACTGAGATGCATGATTTGCATGAAGTAGCATTCTAGTGTCGGCTTCTTCGTGATCGCAAGATAATGTTGCTATTTCTCGAATAATATTAGGTGCATTGTCAAGTCCTGGCTTAAGGCTATGGCACTTGTCATCATGGCAAACGTAGACCACAATACCACTAAACATCATCGATGTGTATGTACACCACTGTTCAAACAAAAACCGAATGAGTGCTTCTTTGTTTCGACCATGCTTAAGAAACTTGCCCCATTGTGCTGGTAGTTTCTGGTCAGCTCCATATATATTGATTACTGCTAATCCACCACTTGCCCGAATGTTCCTTTCGAGGTTTTTAATGCTCACATCAGGATATCTGTCTACCACAAAATCAACACGTGAAGATTTGTGATAAATTGCCAGCTTTATCACCCTTGAAAACAATTGCTCTGCAAATTCTCCAAACGATGAAGGTAGCTTCTTTGTAGCTTGAATGAGTGCCATTCCATCAAGAATGATTGCGTTTCCCTCCGGAACATTGTCGACTGTGTGATTTTGGACACTTGATTCGATTGACGTCATCAGTTTGCTTTTCTGGGTCTTGTGCAAGGTGCCCATCTCGGTTGAAAGAGATAAAGGAAATGGACCCAAAGAATAAGTGAGCAATTCCTTCATGTCCACATTTCTACTTTGCGCCAGCAAGAGCATTCGAGCGAACAAGTTACAGTTATTCTTAATGGTGGCTTCCACACCTTTTGCCGAACTAACTTTAACTTTCTTAGCCATTGACGAAAAGGTTTTCAATTTCAGCTTAGGAATCGTTGAGAAGATATCAGGCTCTGAAACTAGCAACCTGTCTTTTAGAAAAGCAGTCACGCATTCTTCTCCTCGTTGTTGTGTTCTTAGTAAGTCTGCCTTTACATCTGGTGTAGCTACTAGTCCACTTGACAAGTGAATCATATCTGTTATTTCAGTATCAGTTTCAAAAGGATTTACCATGTTCTGAAGCGTGTTTACTATAGTCAATACATCTTTCTCATGGCGAGTTCTTTGTGGCATGTCTAATTCCTTTCTTTTTCTATAAATTTTAAGTTTAAATAATAACGAAATTGTTACTTATGTGCTCGGAGGTAGCAAGCAATTATTGTACGAAGTTATGGTATTGGTATGCCTGTAAATTTTGTGATTAAATAAAAATAGTCATGTACTTGTTAATAGTAAAAGTTATTTTGCATTATATACCTTTTAGTTGGATCAGTGCCGGCCATTTTCATACACTCTCCTGTGATAGCAGACCTATCAGATTGAGCAATAATCCATCGTTGCATAGCACCCCTGTTTAACGTTATTCCAACCATTCCTGAAATATTAAGAATATGTACTCTTAAGAGTGGGTACAGTTACCACTGGCGAACTGTAAATGAATTTATTCTTACCTCCTTTTGTTTTTGAATCTCTATTTAAGGTTTGTTCAATAGTCATATCGCATGCGACAGAGGAAAACCCATGATTCTGTTGGCGTTGTACTGTCCATTGATCGCGAAGATCTCTCAATAATGCTAAAAACGGGAAAAAGGGTGCAAACAAGTACCTATTCACATAATTAATTCAATAGCATGTAATGATTTCACACCACTCAGTGTACCAGCCTATTTT